GGCTGCTGTTGGGTGGAGTGTTTGGTATGTCTATGAGATCAGTTTGGTTGATTGTAGCATTTAGCTCTTCCGTGTCTTTGTTGAGCTTCTTTCTGGATGTTCTGATCTTCACCGAAAGTGATGTGTTGAAGTCTCCTACTACTTTTCTGGAGCAGTCTATCTCTCTTTTCAGTGCTGTTAGAGTTTATGTATTGTGGAGCCCCGTTGTTGGATGCATAAATATTTATTGTAGTTATGTCCTCCTGGTGTATTGACCCTTTAATCGTTATATAGTGTCCTTCCTTATCCTTTGTGGTGGATTTTACTTGAAAGTCTATTTTGTCAGAGATGAATATTGCCACTCCTGCTCTGAGTGTTGTTTGCTTGATATAATTTTTTCCATCCTTTGAGTTTTAGTTTGTGTCTTTAAGTCTAAGGTGTGTCTCTTGTAGGCAGCATGTAGACGGATCGTGTTTTTTTTATCCAACCTGCCACTCTCTGTCTCTTTATTGGTGCATTTAGTCCATTTATGTTAGCGTTATTATTGATAGGTATCAGTTTAGTGCTGTCATTTTGATGTCTTTTTTGTGTGTGTTTTTGACAGTTTCTTTGTTCCACTTAATTTTCGGTGCTGAGTCTTTTTTCTTTATGTATTTTCTTTTCACCTTTTTCATTGTTGTTGATTTTGTATTTGCTGAGCCTTTATATTTTTCTAGTTTTTTATTTTGACTTGTAGGATTGTTAGTTTCCTTTGTGGTTACCTTAATATTTACCCCTATTTTTGTAAATTTATACCAGTCTTTTATTTCTTTATATCGCCTTGACTTCCCCTCCATATGAAAAATCTATGTCTACGTTTTTTAAATCCCTCTTTTTTGTTTTAATGTTGTCATCTTTTACATATTGACATCTCTATTTCCCTATTTTCAGTGTTTTAGCTTTGGTTTATTTTCATGACTTCCCTATCTGGGTTGATATCTGGTTGTTCTGTCCTGTGTTCTAGTCTTGGGTTGGTATCTGATGTTATTGATTTTCTAACCAGAGGACTCCCTTTAGTATTTCTTGTAATTTGGCTTGGTTTTTGCAAATTCCCTAGACTTCTGTTTATCTGGAAATGTCCTAATTTCGCCATCATGTTTGAGAGACAGTTTTGCTGGATACATAACTCTTGGCTGGCAATTTTTTTCCTTCATGGCTTTACATATGTCATTCCCATTGCCTTCTTGCCTGCATGGTTTCTGCTGAGTAGTCTGAGCTTATTCTTATTGACTGTCCTTTGTAGATGACTTTTATCCCTAGCTGCTCTTAAAATTCTCTATCTTTGGTTTTGGCAAGTTTGATTATAATATGTCTTGGTGAGTTTCTTTAGGGATCTACCTTATGTGGGGTTTGATGAGCATCTTGGATAGGTATCTTCTCATCTTTCATGATATCAGGGAAGTTTTCTGCCAACAAATCTTCAACAATTCTCTCTGTATTTTCTGTTAAGCCCCCTGTTCTGGTACTCTAATTACTTGTAGGTTATTCCTCTTGATAGAATCCTACATAATTCTTAGGGTTTCTTCATGTTTTTAAATCCTTTTATCTGATTTTTCCTCAAAAAAGATCTCACTAATTCTGACTTCTATTGCCTCAATTCTGCTCCTTACTTTCTATCGAGTTATCTAATTCTGACATTTTATTGTTCTTCTTCTGGATTTCTGATTGCTGTCTATGGATTCTTGCAGCCTTTTAAATTTGTCATTATGCTCTTCTCTAATCTTTTTAATTTCCTCTATTGCAGTGTTTTGATTAATTTCCTTCCTAATATCATGAAGAGTTCTGTATATTAATCTTTTGTATTCTGCCTCTGGTAATTCCAAGAAATTTTCCTCCTCTGGAAAATTTCTAGATTCTTTATTTTGCGAGCTTGCTGAAGCCATCCTGGACTGCCTCTTTATGTGATTTGATATTGACTGTTGTCTCTGAGCCATCAATAAGTTATTATAGTTATTTATTTTATGTTTGCTTACTGTGTCGTAGCTTCTTGTTTTGTTTTGATACGCCCAAATAGGCTGCTCATGTGAGCCAGTTTGATTATTGGCACCTTTGAAGCTCTAATGTCCTGTCACCAGGTGGTTAGATCTGTTACTAGGTATGTGAGCTCAAGAGTCTACCCACTCCTCCTGTATGGATTCAGCTCAGGTGCCCAGGTAGATAGCCACCAAGTGTGTGTTGCAGGCTCTCACCGACAGTCCTAGACAGGCGTGGGTGATTGGTGTAGGCACAGGCATCTGGGCTACAGCAGGGGGACACACTCTGAGCAAGGCAAGGGGCTGATGGCTGCCCCCGAGTATCCAGGAGGAAGGCATGTCCCTGTTCCCTACAGCTTGTAGGTGGCTGGCTTTTGCAGCCAGACTATGAGCCCCCAGTGCTGTTGGCTGTAAGGACTAGGGGGCACCTCTTATTCTTGGGCCCCTATCGCAGGTGGGTAGGTGGCGTGGGTGGAGCCACCAGTCCTCAGGCCCCTGATGTGGGTAGGTGAAGATCCTCCTTAATGGGCAGAGCAGTGTCAAATGTCAAGAGCCTGCCACTTCACAGCTGAAACAGCTGAAGTTAGACTTCAGGTATATACCCTGTTGTACTGTGGTAATGAGGGCCTACCCTGTTGAGATGGGCCTACCCTGAGTTCCTGGCTTAGGGGAGCTGGCAGTTTATTTTTTCCCGTTTGTTAATCTGTTCACTCTCCAAGGCCAGGAGAATGGCTCAGGGCATGTGATGGATACTACTTCCGGCCCAGGGGACTCGGCAATTGCTGAAGCTGGTCCAGGACCCAGTGCAGAGCAGGGAGTGGGGAGGTAAATGGGAGAGAGGTTTTTCCCTAAGGGGGGTGTTTTTGATCCACACGGTAGGCTGGACTTAAGTACTTATCTTTCGCTGATCGAGGGCTGCTTCTTACTGGTTCTGGGTGGCCGACTAGACTCTCTGCTGCTGGGTCTCTCCTGGTGCAGAATACGCCTGCTGAGCTCCGCTGCTTGCCTGCCTCATCGCTCACCCATGAGCTGATCAGGCCTGAAGGGCTCAGGCTCTCACCGGGTCAGGTCTAGCAACTCCTCGCTGCTTCTGAATCATCTCTCCCTCCCCTGTGTCACTCAGTCTGGTTCCTCAACTTTGCCTTTGATGTTCAGGGCTCCTAGGTTGTCATATATAATTGATTCATTTGTTTTTTTCAGGTCTTTGTTTTAACAGGGTCCACTGGAAGCATCTCACTAGTCTGCCATCTTGGCCCCGCCTCCCAAGAGTATAAACTTCTGTTTGTTAAAGCCATCCACTTGTGGTATTTCTGTTTAGCAGTACTAGAAAACCAAGACATAGGATATGGTGGAAATGACACTATGAGACTTCCCAGGCTAGGACATAAAAGATAATATAGATTCTACTTGGCTCTCTCCTGGGACACTCATCCTTTGAACCCAGATGCCATGCTGTGTAAAACCCATCACACATGGAGAGGAACAGAGGCCTCTGGCCCTGGCTGAGTGCCCAATGGACAGCCAGCACCAACTTTCCAGCTATGTCAGTAAGACATCTTGGAAGTGGATCCTCCTGCCCTCTCTTGAGAGGACCCAGAGGATTCTGCATGGACCAGAGACAAGCTTTCCCCACAGAGCCTTGCCCAAATTGTAGATTCATGAGAAAAACCACTGGCTGTTGTTTCAAGAAACAAGATGTAGCCACTGGTACTGGATGAGACCTTCTTTCTCTTAATATCCTTGTCACAGAAGATTCTGTTTTTTTCCATAAAAGAAAACCAGAAGGAGTTGGGAGCATACTGTAGTCTGGCCCATTCAAACATTTGTTCACATAATCAGTGGGGTGCATTGGGACAAAGTGGGCAGAAACCTGGCACTGCAGACCAACCCAGCTTACACAGCTGCCCCTCACTCCTGAGGACAGACCATGAGGGTTCAGGTTCCAGGAAGAAGAAACCCTTCCAGAGAGCTGTCTGCTCTGCCCATGGAAAGAATACAAGGTCTCATTCTGGGTGTACTTTCTTTTTTTCCTGCCTCAGAGCCACGTTAGCTTCACCCTGGGTGATGCACACTGATAAACTGTAAATTGGTCATGTTTTGCCCCCATGGATTATTTGGACATTCAAACCACTGTGTCCTGGACTGTCCTTCCAAGCCACCATTAAAAAAAAAAATATATATATATATATAAATATAAAATATAGCATAAGAACATAAATGTTCAACCTTACATAACTAACACATATACTTGTTTTTCTATAATTCCACTTTACCCAGGCAAATAAGTATCCTAGAGTGGTAAATGGTCGTTTAATTTAGAATGTATAACTAATAGTTTTGTAGCTCAGTTATAGTTTCTGTTTCCAGTAACTCTTCAAAGCCCATTTATATTGCTTGAACAGCAATCATAATTTCTCCTTTGGAAACATACATATTTCCCCCCATTGTGCTAGTTATTCTCCATTGTCCCATTCATATCTTCCCCCCTCATCCACTGGCCACACTTCTCGGCTCTGCTCTATGCCTTGGGAGGCTGACATCCAAGGGCTACATCCCCCAGGCTTCTTTGCTTTCTGGCTTCCAGTTGGGTTTAGCAAAAGCACTGTTGGGATGTTGAAGAGTGGGAAGAGAGAGGGGTTGGGGGTATTCTCCCTCATCTCTCCCTGCTAGGCCTTGGTTTTGACACTGGCCTCATTCCTCTATGATATGACATATATTCTGTTGGGTGGCCTCTCTCCTGAGGCTACAGCTCTCATTGGGTTCCAAAGACTCTGATCCCTCCCCTTTGCCTCTTCAGGCCAAGAAGTGATAAAGGCAGCCCATTCTTCTAGGTCCTACGTGCTTCCCCATCCTTTCTTGATTCTTTAACCTACCTACACTGTGGTAAACAGCCCTTCATGAAACTGTTCAAGTAGCCTTGGGAGTGTGCTCTCTTGGGGCCCTGAATATGGCCAATATTAGCAACGGTGTCATCATATGTCTCTTCATAACCCCATGTAATCTATCATTTCATTTCTACTTAAGTTTGTACATGTACCTTTTACTGAAATACTGCAGAACTCATTTTCACAATAAGGTACTTACACCGTAAGAGCTTCTAATAAAGGAGCCAAGTCACATTCAACTCTCAAACATGTACATTTTGTTATTTCTTTAAAAGTCATTTCATATTTTTAAATCAGCTTCGGCTCTGGAGCCTGGATGGGTAAACACTGAAGCCCAGAGTGTCCCTGAAGATGCTGAATGAGAATTTCAGTTGTTGCCTTGGTGGCTGAGAATCCAACTGACTGATGAGAAGCCCAGGCGAGATGAGCTGGAACTTTTAGTGGGGAGCTGAGTTCTGCACTTAGGGATACCTATGGAGGAAAAAGGTGTCGTTAGAGTGAGAGCTATTAAAATAGCAAAGGAAGCTATAACATTAAACTTATTTTAATGATAGAAAACAATTCCATAAACCCATAGGGCTGAATGGGATTTACTAATTTCACCTCCCTGCCAACCCATGCACATCTTCATCTTGAGTTACTAATAATAAGTTCTTCAGTCTTTGGGTACTTTCACAAACATTACTTCAGTTGAATCTCAAGAAAAGTTCTTCAAGGACGATAGGGAAGTATTAACATCTCCATTTTACAAATAAACTGAGGAACACGCAGTTAAGTGACGGTCCAAGTTTACAAAGCTAAAAAGTGTCCTAGCTGGGTATGGACACTTGATCTGACTCTCAGACCAGGTCAATACCAGTATAGCCCCCATATTTCATCATCTCTATTAATCTGTGCATGCACACCCACTCTCTCTAAAAAGTCATAGGTTGACATTGCAGCCAAAACTCACAGTGAGAAAGGATTTCTCCTTGACATCTGGCCATGAGCAGGAAAAGGAAGAAGAAAGAACGGTGAGAGGGAGAGAAAGAAATAATCTAATCTGAGCATGCAGCTATACAGAGTGATGTACTCTTTCAAGTTCACCCTTGGCTTCTACTGTGTGATGAGAGACATAAGAAGTTTTGGCATAACACAAACACTGTAGCTTCCCCCTGAACACAAACCCCTTCCTATTACTTCATACCTAGTGGGCAAATGGCAGGAGTCACATTAGATCATTTGTTACATCTCTCTAATGCTCTAATTGGTATGTTTTCAGTACACAGGATTTCTATTAATCTGGGGAAAATCCTATTTTAGACATTCATGGAATCAGAAATTTAATCAGTGACTGCTGTCTCCAATCCTCTACTTCAGCTAACCTGGTTGTTAATTATCCTACAAGAATGTCACCCACAGCTTGGTCTTGCCTCACCCACTATACCTGCCTGAAGTGGTCTCTTTAGCCTTCCTCTGAATATAACCTGGAAGGCCACCTTCTCCAAGAAGCTGAGCGTCTAGTTAAGTGTCTAGACCCTCAGTGATTCTCTGTCATCTGGATTCCTGAAGCCATTATTATTGAGACCATTCTCAATGAGACTATAAGCTTCATTGAGTCTACAGGCAAATTCATTGAGCCTAGCCTATAGTAAAACCAGTTACTGTTGAGTCGATTTCGACTCATAGTGACCTCATGTGCGTCAGAGCAGCACTGTGCTCTGTAGGATTTTCAATGATTGATCTTTGGAAGTAGACTACAAGACCTTTCTTCTGAGGCACCTTTGGATGGAGATGGACCTGAACCGCCAACCTTTTGGTTAGCAGCCATGCGTATTAACTGTTTGCACTACCTATACATAGTAGGCGGTCTATATATATTCATTGTTGATTTTTCTGAGAAAAAGTGGGCAAAACTGGAGTTAAAAGTTGTAAGTTTTTAGACTCAAAGAGGAAAGTGGTAGGGGGAGGGAGAAATAGGAGTAAATAATCTTCCCTCATTTGAAGTTTTCTGTGTTGTTTTAAGATCAGCACAGAGTAAGCATTTTTGGTGGTGTTTTAAGATCAGCATAAGGTAAAAGAACAAATGAGAGCGTTCCTTTGCGCTCTTGTTCCTACCTGGAAAAAAATTTTTTTCTTCTCTTTTAGTAACAATGAAGATAAAATAATACCTATTGAATGAAGGAAAAGCCTCCTCTGTGCTACAAGCATGGGCTAGTCACCACCTCACCTGTAACAGTTTCAAATTTAATCCTGTCACTGTGCAAAGCATATCTATCACTGCATTTGAGGAACCCCTTTCTCTTAAGCCCCTGGTGCAGTTCACAGGCCCAGGCAGGCTCCTCTCTGCTCCTTTTCCTCCTTTTCTGCTGGTGGCAGGTCCCAGGGACTCCACCTGCTCTCCTCTTCTCTTGGTAGTTGTCACCGCCTGTCCTGATTGTTGGGTTTCTCGTCCCACCAAGATGGCTCTGGGAGGATGGTCTCCTTACGTCCATTCTTCCTTGCTGTCTCTGAATAAAAGCTCACAGACTCTCTTCATTTGAAGACTTTAATGCCCATTATTAAAAGAGAAAAGACAAGATTTATGGGGAAAACATGGGGAAGAGTCCTAGATCACAGTCCACAGCATCTGACTACCTGGTTGAAATGATAACTAGAAATTTCTTTTATACCAATGCTGGAGTTCACCAAACTTTTTTATTCCTACTGACCTTTTACTGCAACCTTGCTGTGAACTCTCCCCTTCCGTCCTCCAGAAGGGCTCATTTTCTTAGCACATAGACTTCATAACAACGACAATCTTAGCAGGATGTTTGAACCCTTATTTCAAGTAGTTATTTTAATTTCTGAGCTCTGAGGACTGGGCAAAGCATATTTTACTAAACCTCTATCCTACATGCAATTCTTCCCTCAAAAGCATTTTGCTACAGCTTCTTGATTTTCTTCTCCTTTTCTCTCTTTAAAAAAAAAAGTTTGTGTATTTTTTAATAGGTTACTTTTCTACAGAGTTCAATATTCAAAAGGTACAAAACGGTACAGTGAAAAATCTCCTACCACCTCATCCCACAGCCCTCCAGTTCTGTTCCTCAAGGGCAACCAAGGTTGCCAGGTGTGTATGTATTCTTCCAGAGATATTTTATACATATGCAAGCAAATATACACATAATATGCAAATACATGCTACTTCTCTCCTTTTTTACACAATTGGTAGCATACTAAAAATACCATTGCTTTTTGTTTACTTACGTATGTGAAGAAGGAGCCCTGGTGGCACAGTGGTTAAGTGCTCGGCTGCTAACTGAAAGTTTGGTGGTTTGAACCCACCAGGGGCACTGCAGGAGAAAGATGTGGCAGTCTGCTTCTGTAAAGATTACAGCCTTGGAAACCCTATGAGGAAGTCCTACTCTGTCCTATAGGGTTGCTATGAGTTGGAATTGACGCGATAGCAACGGGTTTGGTTTTTTGCTATATATGTGAAAGTATATGTGTGTGTGTTTAATGGTTGCATAATAGACTATTTATAGGTAAACCATACAGATAGATACTTAGGTCGTTTTCAATCTTTTGCTCTTAGAAACAATGCTGATATAAATGACCTTGCACATACATGTGAGTCTATCTGCTGTAGCCATCTGTTTTCTGATTGCCAACTGCCATGCAAACTACCAGTATTTCTAGTATTGGAGCATTATCCCAAAGAGTTCCTCAACCTGTGCCTATGAAAAGGGATGAAGTTAGGTAATTTAAATAGATTTTTCTCATCACTTGAACTTATTCTTTTTCTAGAGATATTTGCCCAATAACCTGTACAGTATGTTGTTGTAGTGTCTTAAATCAAAAGAAATAGGAAATTAAAAATGTAAGGCCATGCTTTACACATTGGAAATCTCCAGGGTTATCTTCTTGGCCCACTTCCTAGGCAATCAGTGCCTGGATCTTCAATTGCTGAATCTATATCTCTTGGCTCTGCTCTCCCTCCTGAGCTCCTGGCTCATATATTCAACTCTTCTGAATACTTACACTTGGCAGTCCCACAGGCACCTCAAACAATCCCTCCCTGCTGGGTTTCCAGTCTCGGTAGTGAGTAACAAACATTGATGCAATCACCCAGCCCAGATACCTACAGAGTTTTCCTTTACTTGACTGAAACCTTTCCCCGCGTAGTCTGTAAGCTCCTCAAGGGCAGGGTCTGTGTCTTGTTATGGTATATTCCTAGGGCCTAGTCCAGTGCCTGTAAGCATTTGTTGAATAAACAAATAAACACACAAATGATTCCTCCTCCTCTTTCATTTCAGGACAATGGCTAAACAACCTTGTAAGTGGACTTTGAAGAAGGAATAGAAAATTCCTGTCTTCAGGTGGGATGTCATTTTATTGGGCACAGAGAAGTGAGTGAGAATGCCAAGGTCACTGAGGCTCAGTTTCCCAATAGTAGGGCCTGGAGGGGAAGCTAAGGCACAAGAAGAGATTTTAGCAAGGAACAACTTGGAATATGAGTTATATTTTAACTCCCCAGCTTGAATTTTTCACTCCCCAGTTGAATTTTTTTGGGTTCTCCATTCATGATACTTGCAGAAAATTTACACATTATCATTGAGATAAAAAACACCATTGGATAAACCCATGGATCAGTTAAGGGAGTAGACTGGGTAAAGAAGTATGTAGATATGGAAAATAGACAAATATACTAACAGCAATGATAGCAACTTCAGTGTGCCAATCACTCTTCTAGGAACAGCAGTGATAACAACAGCAATAATAGTTGCTTATATCTGACTGCTGTGCATTGTGCTAATAGTCATACATTTAATATCTTGTTTGATCCTCTCAACAAGCCCCTGGTATGATAAATAAGCAAAGAAGGTGATGATCCTCATTGCAGGAGGCCCCATCCACCTGTCGCACCTTTTTTCTTCCATCTAACCTCAACACTTTATTATGACTTCCAGTTCAGAGGCGATGTGGTAATACTGGATCATTGTGTTTGTAAATAATAACATGAATTTTTTTTGTTGTTGTTGTTTTAGTGATATAAATACAGCTTGAACTCACCCCTGTAAATTACCTAAGAATAAGTTGTGGGGGGGGGGGCAATAACTAAGAGTCATCGGTGGAGATGAAGGCTTGGAGCAGAGAAGATGGCTGGGAGAGTCCCACCTAGAGAGACTTCCTTCTGGGAGGATGGTCTAAGAGGGGTGTCACTTGCTTCATCCCACTAAGTGGTAGTCCTGGCTTTATCCAGTTGAGGAGATGCTCAATCCCCAAGATGGAGCTGCTTCATGGACTTTTGCATCTGGGAGTCTGTGAGGAAGGCCCTTGCTTTCTTCTTATCTGTCTAGAAGCCCAGAAAGCTGCTCATATTTGTCTGTTCACCCCTGGTCAACAGCCAGGGAGAGGGTGTACCCTTTTCCTTCTAGCTGTAAATACCACCACCCATCTTTTGTTGTTCAGCTTCTGCAAGAAATAGAGGTGGGGT